CATCATCATCATCATCATCATCATCATCATCATCATCATCATCATCATCATCATCATCATCATCATCATCATCATCATCCGGAGCGCCCCGGATCGGTGGCACTGGTCGGAGGCCATTACAAGAAGAAGAAAAAGGGCTTCTCAGACGGCGGCACAACTTCCCAGAAACCCTCCAGCCTTATCAAAACTTTCAGTGTCTTCGGGGTCAGAGTCTTCTGAGAAGGCCCGCCCCTTCTGACTTTCCCCCAGGCGTGCCGCCGACAAAAGGGATGAGGGCCGACACAGTGGAAAGAAGCCACCACACCAGCACGCTAACGGTGGCCAAGGCGCGATAGGACATCGCGACTTTGATCACGCCTCATGTTGTAAAGCCCTCCCGCCCCTGCCCTCCTCCCCCTCCCCCTCCCCCTCCCCCTCCCCCCTCCTCCTGATCTTCTCCTCCTCCTCCTCCACATCCTCCTCGTCCTCCTCGTCCTCCTCATCCTTCTCGTCCTCCTCCCCGTCCTCCTCCTCCTCCTCCTCCTCCTCGTCCTCCTCGTCCTCCTCCTCATCCTCCTCGTCCTAATCCACCTCCACCTCCTCCTCCTCCTCCTCCTCCTCGTCCTCCTCCTCCCGTCCTCCTCCTCCTTCCCGTCCTCCTCCTTCCCCTCTTCCTCTGCTCCTCCTCCTCCTCCTCCTCCTCCTCGCTCCTCCTCTCCATCCTCCTCATCCTCCTCCCCCTCCCCCTCCCCCTCCCTTTCCACTCTCCTTTCCTTCCTCCTCCTCTTCCTCCTCCCCCTCCTCTTCGCTCCTCCTCCTCCTCTCCTCTTCCTCCTCCTCCCCGCCTGCCTCCCCTCCTCCTTCTCCCCCTCCTCTGAGCCGAGAGCTTTCCCCCATCCTCCTCGCTCCTCCTCCTCCTCCTCCTCCTCCTCCTCCTCCTCCTCCTCTTCCTCATCCACCTCCGCCTCCCCTCAGCCTCCGCCTCATACTTCTCTCCTCCTCCTCCGCCCTCCGCCCCCCTCCGTCCCCATCCGTGGCCATGAGAAATGGAGACGCGGGTCGACATACTCCCCTTCCGCCTCCTTTCGTCCTCCTCCTGCCCCTTCCCTCCGCCCCCTCCTCCACCCCGTCCTGCTCGGGAGGGGGAGGAGAGGAGCGGATCCTCGAAATCCAACGTCCTCCTGCTGCTCCTCTTCCTGCCCTGTGAAGTCGCCCCCCCGACCGCTCCCGGGACGCGTTCCAGCCGTGACGAGAAGGAGCACGTAGGAGGCCAAACCGCCCCCGAAAACGCAAGGGCCACGATGAGAGAAACATGCGAAGAGGACGACGCCGAGACAGGCCAGGGCAATGCCGAGGAGAATGAAGATGACATACGGATCATGCCACCGCGTCGGTTGCGATGAGAGGCTCTGAAAGCAGCTGAGACTGGCTTACCCGACGAGCTACGCTGAAGGAACTCAGCCTTGCTGTAAACCTTGGGCCATGATACCTGTGACTTACGAATGAAGAAATCCGTACGAACTCAACCATTTCCGACACTCCTCATGGGCCAACTTAGAAGACACCCGGTCACTGCATATACCCGCAAAGGCCGCCTCCACGCACATCCCTTCAGTCCCTGCCGATGAAGCCTCACTCTATGCAGATACCTGTAGCACACATTGCGCCTGAAAAGTTTGATTCCGAGCTGAGAGAGATCGCCTGTCCGCTGCAAGGCGGCGAACAAAGCAAGTGCCAGCTGGAGCCCAGACACTTCGGCGGAGAATGAACATGTTGCATTGGGTTGCCACGTCCCCCCGAAAGCCGCGACCTCCCAGTCGCCGCTCCCATGGGAGACTCGGAGAGTGACCCCCCCCCCCCTCACTCGCCCGCGCCCGCGCCACCAGCCGTCCGAGTGGGCCACACTATTGTGTGGCGCAGCTACTCATCAATGCGCTGGTGGGGGTACGAGAAGCCCCAGCCTGCATCTCAAACTGCATTACACAAACGATGGCGGGGCCGCCACAACACCTGCGCCTTTTGATCCAACAGATTTGATATCCGAACAAGGTTGGGTCGAGCAGCGTGTGAACCTCACCAGTATCAGAAGCAAACATTGGTACATTGCCCAAGCTAACACAGGGCTCCAGCTGAGAACGCCGTGGGGATCGCTACCGCTGCCCAGAAGTTCAGCACACGACGCCGAACCCAACGAGGAGACAGCCCCGCCCACACCCCAGATCACCAGACCATGGGGGACAGGCACATGAAGTACAGGAACACAAAACTGCATAAACATAGATTTAAAAAGATCCGCATGGTTTTTTTGGATCAGCGCTGTCCCCCCCCTCCCCCGGGCGGGGGGAGCGCGCTATGAGCGGCGCCGGAGGCGCCGTCAGGGTGGCCCAACGCCGACCCAAGAAATCCGTGCGGAGCTCCAGGGAAGATCAATCAGCATCGAAGCAGTAATTCGGATCGAATCGACATGTGCATCGGATCGGACTGCATCGGCACGGAACCGAAGACGAATCGGATCGGTTGCGCCAAGACGCACAACGACTCCATGCAAACATCGGGCCGCATCGCATCGTCTCAAGATCGGAATCAAACCAGGCCGGTCGAAATCGACATCGAATCGGATCGATGTAATTGACTGGGACCTTGACGGGGAAGAAGAGAAGATGGGCGCAAGGACACATGCTACCTGTCGGGGAGACGTACGACGACTCGAGTTCAGGAGACTCGGGTTGGCCTGACGAGGCCATAATGAAAATGGCGAGAGCCAATCTGAAATTTGATGCCAACTACCGCTGAAAACATCCCACGAAAACTGGACCGTCAAAATCCAGGATGCGCTCGTCGAAAAACGCCAGCTAACCCGAATTCTGGCGTACTCGAGTCTTACGTTTCCCCGAACCTGGGACGCGGGGCATCAAAACCGAACCAACCGAGAGCAGCGACTGTGACGCAGCCGGCCGTACAGAATCGTGGACACCCTGTGCGTTGGCTGCACGCCAGAGTGGCCCTAAGACAAAGGTGACATCCGTCGCAAGCCGGTGCTGGGGTGGCACCCTGCGGGCCCGCATCAAAGGCCACTGTTGCGCGTGGTCGGCCTGGCCTTCGGGTCGTAACTCGGCTCTCTGGCGGCCGTTCGGCGCGAATCCGGCACCCGAAACGATCTCGGCGAGGCGCAGCTGCTGGAACACAGCCCAGGGCCAGAAAACCACTGCAGAACCGACAAAGACGTCCCGAAGACGCCAGGGACACCCCTCTGAGCGCCCCCAGCCTAAAGGCCACCATGCGGGGCACCGCGCCGCGAGGTGCGCTCCTCGCCCCACTCCACCAGCGGGGCGCCGGCCGGGAACCCCCAGTGCGGTTCCGCGGCGCCTGCCGGGGATCCCGGGCGCCGGCGCCGTCGTCGCCGCCGCCATCGTCGTCCACGACGGCTCGTGAGGGCAAGGTTTTTCCCGCTCCTCCTCCTGACCCTCCTGCTGCTTCGGCTGCTTCCTTCTCTTGTTCCTCCACCCCCTCCGCCCCCTCCCCTTCCTTTTCCTCCCTGTCATGCTGCACCTCCTCTTCCACCGCCTCCTCCTCCTCCTCCTCCTCCTCCTCCTCCTCCTCCTCCTCCTCCTCCTCCTGTACACCCCGGACAAGAAGACAGGGGCAGGACTTCAACTCCTCCTCCCCCGATCCGCCTCCCGATGCTGCTCTTCCTTCTCATCGTCCACTGCTGCCACTCCTCCTGCTCCTAATGCTCCTCCCACAACTCCAACAACTCGTGTGGGCGGCCGCCAACACGAAGCCAGCGGACGCCGCTCGATCCCTGTCCGCCGAGCGGGGCCGCGGCCCTCGCCGCGACGGCCTCAGAGGGCCACGACGGCCTCACAGAATTCGCGGAACTTGAAGCATGCATCAAGACAATCAATGAACAATGATCCCCAGCCAAAGAACAGTGCTCAGAAACGGCCAAAGAGTGCTTCAACGACCTCCACGAAGCCGCAAAACTTGAAGGAAACACGCCCAAAACAGCCCATAAGACCCATCTGCGTCACCAGCCAGGAAACATAACTCATAAGTCATTGAAGCGACTGTGCCCCCCCGTAGAAAAGCAGACATGATGCCAACATGATATCTCCCAACGCAGGAATACCCAAAGCACCTGCCGAGGCCGTTCATGGCGCCCGCGACGAAGACTGCAACCACTGACAGACAAGAAGACAATATTATGAAACAAGCTGCCTCCCAAGAGCGGTGCCAAAACATACTCAAGTTCCCAAGAAATCGAGAACTGCTGTGCCATAGAAAAGCAACCATCCCATCCAACATATGGCCGGAGGTGTCCCCTTTCAGGGGCATCCTCGGGCCTTCCAGCTCAACGCGGGGACACTTTGCCTGGGGTGTTCCCCGCTCGGGGGCTTCCCCAAGACTCTGGAATCACATGCTCATGCGCGCCTCGGCGTCTGCAGAAAACTCAAGACACCGGGCTTTGGCAAGACGCAACATGAACTTGATTTGGCTCCTTCACGCCACGAGAAACCCACGCCGCGCCAGGACACATTTCCGCATGTTTGAACACTTTCTGCGAAACATCATTACTCGGCCGCGCGCGAATCGTACATGCGCGCGCAAGCCCGCCCCGCTGTTGCAGCGCGTGCCCTTGCTCGTTAAAAAAAACCTGCGAGCAGCCTTCTGTGGCGCCGCAGAGGAATCAACCACCGTCGCCTCGGTCAGCTCGCCAGACTCTTCATCAGCGCCCGCGACTCCAATGTGAAATGCCTCGCTGCGCATGGGCTGAAACGCCAGGCCCCTGTCCACGCCAAAGAGAAAACATCCGTCTGCAGCCGCCTCAGCTGCGAGGGGGCGCGCTGCATATTGTGCCCCAGCAGAGACTACTGAAATCAGTACTCGCGCGCGCAGTGACGCCGCATGCCCTGCGCCTCCACTCCTGGATAACTTCAGACCACCACAGCTCATGCTCAAACACTGCGACTTGTGGCGCGCACCCCCTTCTCGGCGGGCGAGGTCGCGCCTCTCTATCCCGCGGCTGCTGCTGAGAAGCACGGCGAAACGTGGGCCCGCGATACCTGGCCACCACCTTAGCTTGCCAGAATGCGAACATGAACCACTCGTTATAGCCTTCAAACTAACCAATATCACAAGCGCGCGACTTCGCAGAATCCGCCGACCCTGTCGGCGTGTGTGAGGGGCTTCTCCGTTCGACTCGTCGTCTCCGTTCTCCCCCTCCCAGGGCTCTCCTCCTCAAGCGCGCTACCCAAAGCGAAATTAGACGACGTCCTGGTGGAGTCGAAGGGAAGCCCCTTCCCTTTGATCCCTTCCCCGCAGGGGGGGGGGGGGGAGGGGGGGGGAGGGGGGGGGGGGGGGAGGGGGGGGTCCCGGGGCAGATACGACGAGCCCGCCGGGGCGCACCCTTGGGGAGCGGGCACGCACGGGATGCACTTCCTCCTCCTCCTCCTCCTCCTGGTCCTCCTCCTTTTCCTTTTCCTCCTCCCCTCCTCCTCCTGCTCCTCTCCTCCTTCTCCTCCTCCTCCTCCTCCTCCTCCTCCTCCTCCTCCTCCTCCTCCTCCTCCTCCTCCCGCAGAGGCGTCCCGGAAGCGGGCCCCGAGTCAAAATACCACCCCCCTGGGGCGCATTTTCCTCGAGCGGGTACGCCCCAAATGCACTTCTTCCTCTTCCGGGAACACGTCCCAACTCAGAATATCACACTCCCGGGGCGCACTTTCTTCGAGCGGGCACACAAAGGATGCACTTCCTCCTCCTCCTCCTCCTCCTCCTCTTCTTCTCCTCCCACTCCTAGCCCTTTCGATCAGGGTCGGCGGCACCGGCCGTCAGGCCTCTCCAATAGTCTGCCTATGTGTTGCCCAGCACCCAGTCGGAATTCGACTCGCGCGGTGCCCGACCTGCCGCTGCTTCGTCCAAGTCTAGATGCAATGGGCGCCAAGCGAACTTTGGCGGCGCTTCGTTCCCTGCCCTAACTTCTGCGCGAATGGCTCGCCACTGCCCCGCGCGACGCGCCCCCGTCATAGAACCGGCCACTTCCTATCTAGAGCCTTCCGAAACCAAGACCGCCGAAACGGCGGCCATCAAACCAAGCAGAGAAGACGCCGCAAAGCACGATGTGCGCAATGTCAACCGTTCGCTGCGCCCCCCGCGAAGGCCACCGCGCGCCGCTCTCGCTGGACACCTTTCCACGGGAACCTGCGCACATGCCCGCGCGCAATGCCTCAGCTCGGGGGCGCTCGAAGGAATGGCGGACCCGTCAGTGCGCGCGACTCCTGGCAAACCCGCGGGCGAGCTGTTCCAATCGCTCCAACCGTGCACCTGCAGGCCCACCGCCGCGTGTTCGGTCGCGCCTGGCAGCTGCGGGGTGCCTGCGCTAGCCTCGAAACGATCACCAATAACGCATGGGCGCTGGATCGCACCGTGGCGCAATACTGCATCGCGAAACTTAATCCGCTGCAGGCCGAAGGTTCGCAGTTTCCTGTGCCAGTTGCAGCTTCCCGTTTCCACTGTTACAGTTATGTTTCATGCTGCTTACCCTTCCTTGTTGATGGACCGCGCGAGGGGGGGTGGCCCAAATGAGCAGGTTTAGCACGCCCGGAGCGCGTTGTCGGAATTGCTGGGGCGAATAAAACTTGGCACCCCTCACGCAGATCGGCGGGGTCAGGGTCCAAAAACACATGGAATTTGTCATATTTCCGAAATTTGCGGGGCACCCCTCACGCAAATCGGCGGGGTCAGGGTCCAAAAACATGTTGGATTTGCGACAAGTCTGAAATCAGGTGGCACCCCTCGCGAAAATCGGCGGGGCCAGGGTCCAAAAACAAGAAGAATTTGAAACATGTCTGACATTTGGTGGCCCCCCGCGCGCAGATCGGCGGGGCCAGGGTGCAAACACAGATGGTATTTGCAAGATTTCTGCAATTCGCTGGCACCCCTCAGGCAGGCCGGCGGGGTCAGGGTCCAAAAACATATTGGAGTTGCAACATTTCTGAAATCCAGTGGCACCCCTCACGCCGATCGGCAGGGTCAGGGTCCAAAGGCACATGGGATTTGCCACATTTCTGCAATTCGATGGCAACCCTCACGCAGATCGGCGGGGCCAGGGCCTGAAAACCTGAAAGGGTTCTCAACACGTTTGAAATTCGGTGGCACCCCTCGCGCGGATCGACAGGGTCAGGGTCCAAAAACACATGGGAGTTGCAACATTTCTGAAATCCGGTGGCACCCCTCACGCCGATCGGCAGGGTCAGGGTCCAAAGGCACATGGGATTTGCCACATTTCTGCAATTCGATGGCACCCCTCACGCAGACCCGCAGGGTCAGGGTCCAAAAAATAAAAGGGATTTGCTGCATGTCTGAAATCCGGTGGCACCCCTCACGCAGATCCGCAGGGTCAGGGTCGAAAAACAAGCAGGTCCCGACACTGCATCACGGCGGCGCCCAAACCTCATGATTTAGCTTTTGCATCTCCCACCGTCCGAGACAGGGGGCCGGCGGCATGGGGCGAAGCCCTTATGGATGGTTTCAAGAGCACGGGGTGCTTTTCCTCATCTTCAATAAACCACTTATTCATCGCATCCCACTTGAACCAAACATGACAACTGGTTGATTTATCTCCGCGACGTCCCCTGCAAAGCGCATCCTCCACTTCGTTGCGATTGGAGCGCCTGCCCTTCGCCCGCATGGGCCCAGGCCGTAGCGCGCGCCGCCCCAGCGGCTTTTGAAATGACCAACGTAGTCCGTGGCTCTCCCGCCCATGCCCTGAGGCCTGTCGCCTGCGGCGCCGTGGATTCGTCGGCTGGAAGGCGGTGAGCCACAAGGCGCGCTTTCTGCCACCTTCGAATGCCAGCCTGGAGTAGATCTTGACTAAGCATGGTCGGCGTCCCCAGCAAAGATCAGTTGGCCCCCTGGTCATCCAATGACGCGGTAGGTGATGGCGCCCGCCAGCCCACTCGAAGAAGCGATCGTTCAATCGCCCCTCACGCACGTGGCCGCGCAGGCCTCTCCTCCGCCAGGGCCCGCAATCCTCGTTCAAGCCGCCGCAAACTGACCGGCTGCTCCTGCGCCGCGCGGTGACTAGGGAGCGCGGGCGCAGCTGTAGCCTCAGACTCTGGCCCAGGCAGAACGCGCCGCTGGCCCCCTGCGGAGAGCACCCCGCCACGACCGCGGCCACCTGCCCCATGTCCGCGAGCTCTTTGCCCGCGCCCCCGCGTTTAAAGAGGGTGGCGGGAGTCCAGTGCGCCAGAGCCTCATAACTTTCAAGCCAGCAGTCCGCTTGAACTGTTGAGCTCTCTCCACCCTGGTTTTGTGCATCTTGAATCTCTGCCCGTCCACTCTGCGCTTGATAACTGACCCATGCAGCTCGT